ATCGCATGGCTCTATTTCACTCCTTTCTCAATCATATTAATAAGCAACTTTTCTTCAACAACTTTTAACCCAATAATCCTAAAATTGTGACAAAACACTGTAACCCTTATATAGGATCGCAAGTGAAACATTGCCAAGGAAGACAGCTCAAGTCTATATCCTCGCTTTGCACCTGGATCTGAGTATTTGGTTTACATGGGCACTTCTAACAATTACATATTCTTCAACAACTTTTCAACCCAATAACACTACAATTCTGACAAAGCACTGTTACCCTATACAGGATCACAGGTGAAACATTGCCTAGGAAGACGCTCAAGTCCATATCCTCGCTTTGCACCTGGACCTAAGTATTTGATTGCATGTGTAAATCTCACAATTGCTTATTCTTTAACTACTAACCCTGTCCAACGCCCACCAATATTCTCTTAGAATGTGAATTTTTATGTCATCATTTTATTTTAATCATCTTTTTTGTTAATCAAACAAAATGTCATTTTTATTTCACTTTTATATATCCAACAAATATCATCTTGTTATAGCCCTTTTTAACCCTCACAGTTTAAATTAATTAAAAGAAATTTTAATTACTAACCTGTGTTAGAGAGGCTTTACCCGCCTAAACCCGGATAAACCCTTTCACTCCCGGGGCCCATCTATGGTAATTTGAACCAACAACCCCATACTGTGTATATAACTTATAATAAGATTGTCATGTTGTATATAGAAACACATCTATAAATAATTATGCGCATGATTAATCTGTGTCATTGCATCGCCATATGTAATGTAATTTGTACAAAGTGGATAAATAAATAAAATCTGTAATAGATTTAAGAGTTGAGCTAAAGCAGAGATCGAGCATAGTATTGCCAAAACAACAAAGTCTAAAGATGGAAGTCATAAATCAGGTCGATTTACAATTCCCACAAACAAGGCCACCCACACTGTCACATGTGGTGGAATGCAGAGACCCCTCTCACACCTGGACATGCCAAGGCCCCCCTTTCTCAGAAACGCCCCTGTCACATAAGGTCGCCCCGTCTTTAACCTATAAATACATCACCTTACAGTGGCTTGACAGTTCAGTACAGTTCAGTTGAGTTGAGTTTAGTTCACCCTTAGTGCAAGCCGCGTCAGTCGTATGTTATGTCGATCTCATCCAACATGTAATTAGGAAGACCTCGTCTATCTCCTTCTTTTCGCTCTTAGCTCAGCTTTTATCTGTTAACGGAACTTTCTTAGTGCAACTGTGTCTTCGTTTTTTGTGTATGGATATCCCCAGCTTTCCACTCTGCCTCGACCACGACTGCCTGTATTTTGTGAGAACTTTTAAAGGTCTTCCAAGGTGCAGAGAGGTACTGGAAAACTCTACATCCTGACTGTTCCTCTCGGTCAACACAGTACAACAAGAGCTACCAGGACTTCAACTTTTATTTCAGTAGTCGACAGGATCTCTTATTTCATATATTTACAATAATTTTAGGCCGTAAAGAATATTCATATCATATTAACAAGGATAAAGAGAGAGAAAACGAGAAAATAGAAGGAGAGAGAGAAAATCTGTCTCAAACAATTTAAATATAGCCAGCCTTTACCTAACAGATGATTTAGTAGAAAAAAACAAACAACTGATCTTTCATAATCATATTGAATCAACGATTTCAACACCGTTTTAACAGTAAATCCTTTAATTTTTGACAAATGTGTGTGTTTTTATTTTGTTAATTTATAATTTAAAGAATAGAATAGTTTGGTGAAACATCTGAATAATAATCTATGAAGATACTTACTGGATATTTGAGTATTTTGAAGATTTCATTTTCAATATAATCTGATTTCTAAATATCCTGAAAAACTATAAATAATTAATTAAGCTAATGTCCATAGTTCTTCTGAAATATCCATTCCAAGAGTCTAGCAACAGTATCACTATAAAATGAAGTTCCAAAAATGCATTATAACAGCGGTATGGTAGTTTGAACTGGCGAAACCGCTGGGAGGGTTCACCACTGATGAGCCAGGCCCTCCCATTAATTTTTCCATTGCAGTAAGGGCAGTAGAAATTGTTTAATTTCAAAAAGAATCTTACGTCTTTGAACTAGTTTCGAATTTTAAATAATTAATTCAAACTGCATTCATTAATACCACACAGCTGGCGAAGTCTCTAATCAAATTAATTTAAATTACGATTTTTTTCCAGTTTTTAACAGTTACGTAACTTACGGTTTTTATTAAACATTAGATTCAAAATAGGCTTTTATAAAAGGCAAAGGAAAAACTTGGTATATGGAAAAAATATATTGATCCACTATTTTACTATCTTTAAAAAATTCTAATCATTAGCGTTTTAAATAAATTAATAAATTAAGAGTTTTAATTAGAAATTTAGAAGAGTTTTTTGTTTAAGGTTTCAACATCAGAGATGACAATTTAGTGACGCCGGCTCATTAATAAGATTTTTTTTTAATTTAAACTCTTCTCTTGATTTAATTGCATTACCTAATATATTAATTATTTGCATCACTTCTTATAATAGACCAAGCTGCATAGAGGTTTCGATAATGAGATGAAGTTTGCTTATATTTATCATATTTTGTTTGGAAAAAAACAGAGAAACTAACTCTTGGGTGACTTATCCATGTGTGTCAATCCGATAGTCAACAAATATATAACTGGATGAATACAATGATGTTTGATTAATGTCTTAAATTTGGTTTATATACATTCTACAAGACCGCAGTCACCGTTCGGAGGAGATTAATGGATTCTCCGGATGTCGTGGTCCATTTGGATGAGGAAAACGAAGACTAGAACGCGGCTGATTCCACACTCGCCTTTTCAGTGATACGCTAACCTTGACTTATGCACGGTGGAATCTGTGGCCACTGGACATGCGTCGGACCTGGAGGCTGTTGTTGAGTTCTGTGCTGCCTGGAGTATAGGAGCTCCATCTATGCTTCCTTCCTTCTTGTGGTGAATGACCGGTGGTCTTAATACAGTTATATGTGTGTATATATTTATATTTTAAAAAGATGCCTGAAACTCAACAATCGCCACAATCCAACAATTAAAAGATCCACAATCAACAACCGTATTAACCTTAATCCAACAATGGTATTTTTTCGAATTCCGACAACCGATTTGCCTGAAGCTCAACAATCGCCACAATCCAACAATCGTCTTACTCTCAAACAACCAAACAATAGAGCTATCCAAATTATAATAGAAGGAATCGCAGAATATCATTTCTGAGAATAGACCAATGGTAAAAGCGACGAGTTTGTTGAAGAGGTGCAAACTTTCGGACAAATTCGTCCTTGTATTCTCATTACAGCCTGTTGAAGGACGTTATTATCCGAAAGCTTGCACTTCTTCAATAAATTCGTCGCTTTTACCTTTGGCCCCTTCTAAATAGCGCTATCCTCAACCCAAAAATCATGGTATCTGAAGCTCAACAATCATATTATCTAACAGATACTACAGGTTTCTGGAGATGAGCTTCTTTAAGCCTTATTAAACGTAATCCCAAGCTTTCGGGCATCTCTTCCCTTCTACAGGATTACATAGAAACCTATAATTATAGGTTTTCTATGTACTCTAGTAGAAGGGCGAATATACCCGGAAGCCTGAGAATACGTTAATGAAGATAAAAGAATCTCATCTCCAAAAACCTGTGGCATTTGTTTGATTGATATCCAGGAAATTTTATTTATTTATTTCAACACACAAAACGCGATATCCCGCCTAGGGATAATTGTGTTGATTTACATTTTTTAAACAGAAACAGCTATAAACATATTATACAAGAAAAAAATAATTAAAAATAAAAAAAATTGAAACAATAATATATATTAGGAACCTGAACATTTCAGGTTAGAAAGATAATCATAAATATATTCACAAAAATAGTTAGATCTGTGATAATTCTCTCTGCTATTTACAAATTGATATAGATCTACGACATTATTCACTGTCTGTTGTCTAGTGATAAAGAAGAGTGGGCATTCCAGCAGAAGGCGTCTCGAGTCCTGGAATTCGTATCCAGGGGAGGTTTAAATCAATTAATCATATTATCTACAACTCAACAATTGTAATATCGGTAACCCAATAATGGTAATACACTTATCTCAACAATCTGTTGTTTACTGTCTGTTCCAAAGTTCTGAGAGGCTAACAAGATTCTCGTCCGGGAACAGGTAGATCAAGAACGGCATACAACACTCAACAAACGACAGTCAAATTAAACTCATATATTGTAACTGTAACAGAATAATCTTCAGAAAACTCTAGAATTGTTTAAATTATATAATTAACAATATTTTTCTCTCTTTCCTCTTTATCTCCATCACGTCATTTCTCCCAGGAGATTTGACAAAATTGTTCCTCGCCTCACTAACAACAATATGAGAGAGATTCAATTTGAAATTGCTTGCTATATGAGAGCTTCCATTGTATCGAGGAAGTTACTGGAAACTAATTTAGAGCAAGTTATAGTTAGCTTAAACAAGTCAACAACTATTTAACTCTTATTAAATTATTGAAGCGCTACATTGAATACCTGTATTCATCTAGCCAAACATATTATTCTATTTATATCATGAGGATAAATAGCTATTTCACCATGGTAAAGGCTTTTATACATGCATATACTCATCCTAAGTACATTTCTGGGAAGTTAACGACTGATTTTTCTGTAAATGCACCACATATCTACACATATAGAAAGCAGTTCGAATTTTACACTTTAAAATGTACCAGATTTCAGTTTGTTTACTTGCACTCACTGGCGAAGTTGAAAATTCTCTAGAAATTCATATGAAAACCTTTTAATTCTATGGTTAGCTTACGATTCTTTTTTGTGTTTGTTGTTTTTCACCTTTAAATATATTCTCGATATAAAACCTTACCTTAAAACCCAAATATTCTTTAAATATATTTATTTATGCTATCATAATATATTTATTTGAAATAAACAATAACACACTCTCATTTATATGTCCAGGGTAGCCTAGTGGACATGGCATCTGCCCGGTAAGCGGAAGGTCGTGGGTTCGATTCCCATCCCTGGACACTTTTATTTTTCCGTTTATCATTACTCTTCACAATTCACCCTTTCATACCTCATCCCAAAGGTTAGAAATAATCGTTATTTCTCCTTGAAATAAATTTTGATTTTTCGTTGAAAAGAAACACATGCGGGATGGATTTCAAGTGTCGTTTTACAATAACTATCATTTATTTAATAAAATCAATAAAGAATCCAAGGTTAAGTTTCTTGTATAAATATTTTATTTCTCAAGCTCTCACTTATCAGCCTTTCGACGAAAGAAAGAAAAAAACTTGACAAAGAAGGACTTTGTGGTACCTTAATAAATATTTATAATTTACTAATCAAAGTATTTATAAATAAATAATTTATGACTTTATATTCCTTAGAGAAAAAACATAGCCACATTAACCAATAGTTCATTTCAACTCTCAACGTTTTAGTGAATTCATGTCATTCTCTTCACGGATTTAATTCATTTTGTCTCCTCTCTAATTGTAAATACGCTGCTGTATCTCACCTCATAAGCATAAATAAAATCTTCACGGAAATGTTACTTTGAATCCTAATTATACTTATATGCAACAAACAACAAAAAGCTTTATTAAGACAAGGTAATAAGACCAAATCCAAATAAATAAATAGTATGTGAACACTAGTGTGTTAAACACTATTTATTTATTTGGATTTGGTCTTATTACCTTGTTTTATCATCTATAATCCAAATTGTGCCTTATCAACTTTATTAAGACCTTTTAATCTTATACAGATTCTCTAAGCAGAAATGTAGGACACATGCAGGAAAAAAGCAATAGTACCTTAATGGTAATAGTTATCACAAAGCAATAACGCGCCATCTATACGTATAAAATGAAAGAATATAAAAGCACGAATGTTTCTTTTATACATAAAACAAACTTCTACTGCCCTTAATGCGATGAAAAAATATGTATTGGGAGGGCTTGGTTCATCAGTGGTGAACCCTCCCAGCGGTTTCGCCAATTTAATCCATCAGACCGCTTCTCAGAGCTCTAATAATGTATTGGACGATTCTGCTTATATATGCTACACTGAAGGGTGGAATCTCAGAAATGGGTTTCAAGAAAACTATGGACATAAGCTTATAGGACAGTAGAATTACATTCAAATATTTGCATCGAGCAATACTCTTCCGCAATCAATAAAGACAAGGTCAGTTAGACATAGATAATAGTTATAGCATGCACATACATATATGCAGATACGTGACGCTTTACATATATTTCAGAAAATCGTGTATGTATATAAGTAGAACTAGGATTCGAAGTAACCATTCCCCTGAAGAGAGTGACATGAATTCACTAAAACGTTGAGAGTTGAAATGAACTATGGGTTAATGTGGCTATGTTTTTTCTCTAAGGAATATAAAGTCATAAATTATTTATTTATAAATACTTTGATTATTGTTATATTATTAATATTTATTAAGGCACCACAATGTCGTTCTTTGTCAAGTTTTTTTTCTTTCTTTCGTCGAAAGGCTGATAAGTCTGAGAACTTGAGAAATAAAATATTTATACAAGAAACTTAACCTTGGATGCTTCATTGATTTTTTATTAAATAACTGATAGTTATTGTTAGATTCAAATAAATATATTATGATAGCATAAATAAAGAAATTTGAATAAATTTTGGTTTTTAAGATAAGTTCTTATTTTGAGAATATATATAAAGGTGAAAAACAACTTCCAATCAACAAAATACTTTTATGGAGTAAAATTAATCATTCTTCCAGGGAAAAGTATATTTTCAAAACATTTTTATTCTCTAGCGTTCAGGCACGGACGTCCTTCTACAGGAGAAAACCTGGTATAATAATTCGCCAGTAGAACACAATTTAAATATAATCGGAGATTATATTATATATATTATTATACCAGATTTTGTCCTTTAGAAGAGCGAAAGAAGATGCCCGAAAGCTAGAGAATAATAAAAATGTTTTGAAAAGACACTTTTTCCTAGAGGCTTGATTAATTTTACTCAATTTTACTAGTCCGAAAGCTTGAGAATAAAAAGTATCACAAGAAACTTAACCCTGGAAGCTTCATTTATTTTAGAATGATGCAAGGGATTATTTTATAGTAATGTCTATTATATCCCATAGTTTTTTTCTCCAAGTACTATAGTACTAAGTAAGAACATCCATCATATCTTCAATTCTATAGGATAGATTCAACCATAGAGATTTCTGTCAGGAAATGTTCCATTATCTACCCTCCCATCACTATGCTCATTCCCCAAATTACGACTACGTTGCATTAACGCTCGTTTTTCGATCAGCAGGAAATTTACTGAAATAATTGACCGTTTGGAACATCTCTCGTGGGTTTACCGTTTTTCCATATAATCACATTCAGTACTCGGTTCTTCTAGTCTTATATATATTGTTGCATCTTGGCTAATGAACCTATTTCATTTTAATTTGTGATATTATTTTTCATATATTTTAAATTCAAATTTATATTTTATATTTATTTATTTTTTTAAACAGAATATATGTATTATAAACAGAATATATGTATTATAGAATCATCATTTGTATTTAGGTACACTGTGTGACTTCACTGCTCTCTATGATGTGAGAAATAAAAAAATTATTCTGGAGGCTACTTAAAGTAGAGTTATCTCATTATTCCCTTATATAAATTTGTAGGATGGTTGAAACACGCTCTGGTAAGATGCAAGACCCGGCACAGGAGAGAATCAAGGTTGAAGAGTCTGCCAAGCCGCAACCTGGTGCAACAATACTAATATTTTGAAAATAGATCAATCCATAAATAAATATTTAATTTAAAAAGGCATTTATTGGATCAAAATATAATTTATTTTACCAATAATTCAGTTGGCTGAACGCCAAACTTTATCAAGGTATTAAAACACATATAGACAAACATTAATATGTTATAATACCTTGATAAAGGTTGGCGTTCAGCCAACTGAAATATTGGTAAAATAAATGATATTTTGATCCAATATATGCCTTTTTAATTAAAAATATATAAATGTGAATTTGAAACTATTATAAACGTGTATGATTCTTTTAGATATTGAACAATTATCTACTGACCTCACTTCAATGATATTTAATTTTAAAAGAATCATACGCGTCTATATAATAGTTTCGAATTCTCTTAACAGATGGCGCGCTAATGCATCATACATTAATAGGTTTGCATTAATCTGATATTCTTCAAAGCAATCAAAATATAAAACATTACCACATTCATATTCTATTCAAAAGAGCCTAATTGTGAAGAATAGGTCGTTAAATCAACATTCCTAACTGGATCTATGAAATAAGAACGTTGACACCCTAATATATTGTAAAACAGCATTTGAAAATTATTCCGCATGTGTTTCTTTTGAACGGAAAATCGCAATTTATTTTAAGGAGAAATAACGATTATTTCTAACCTTAGGGATGAAGTATGAAAAGATGAATTGTGAAGAGTAATGATAACGGAAAAAATAAAGTATCCAGGGATGGGAATTTTCCGTTTATCATTACTCTTCACAATTCATCTTTTCATACTTCATCCCTAAGGTTAGAAATAATCGTTATTTCTCCTTAAAATAAATTTCGATTTTCCGTTCAAAAGAAACACATGCGGGATAATTTTCAAATGCCGTTTTACAATCATAAACCGCATTATATTGTATTATGAATTACCCTAATATATGTATGATTTTTGAGACTTTTAATCTTAAACAATTTATGACAGATATTCAAATAAATATTCTCTTACTTACTTTGTTGCTAAATTAAAATGAATTAAATAACCATTTAAGCTAGAGATTTTAAAGAAAGTTAACAAAATATTCATTGAGCTATAGCGATTTATTAGAAATACAATACTCTAAAAACCAGACTAGAGACTGAAGGAGCTAAAGGAAGTCCTGGTTAACATTGTCAGAACTTCCTTTAGCTCCTTCAGCCTCTAGTCTGGTCTAAGGTGATGACGATATGTGGCAGAGCTTGTTATTGACTGTACTTTACGAGACCAGACCGGCGGATTGACTACTGAGAATGTTGTCCCTTCGCAAGACTGCGATGTAGCAAGTTGTTTGAATAGAGGAAGGACGCCTCACTCGTTTTAGCTGACTGACTGACTTTATTGAATCTTTCACTCCTTTTATATACATATTTACATAATTAGAAGAAAGAAATAAAAATTTACATGATTATAAAACAATGCAGCCTAGCAAGTTATTTACATAACTCGGCGCAAACAGTATCATTTGTTATATTAATTATATATATATATATTGTATATAAATAATATAAATATCATAATTGTTTAAAAGTTATATTATTTTCTACTATAGTTATATATATGCTTACTGTTAACTTAGACTTTATATTGTATTTATACCTCTAGATGAGATTTGTGTAGAATTTCGGTGGAGCATAAATCTTTCAAATCTCCTAATGGCCTCTGAATGAAATTGTCCCTCTCTTTCGTTTGTATATTATTAACTTAAAATTCCATATTGTGGCGTAGAAATCAAGTCTTTATATATCTGAAGGTGTGAAAGTATTTATTGAAGACGTCACGGCGACTAGTCGACAAATATTAACGAACTAACCCCTCTATCTACCGCTAGGGAATCTTGAACAAGCAAGCATAGAAATATTTTCAAGATGATTTTACATATACAGAGTAATATATATTTTTATAATCTGTTGAATATATTTTTATTGAATAATATTAAATTAAATTAAATAATAAATTATTTCTTCGCCACAATATGAATACTCTCTATTGTCTATTCTACTTATAAATATACGTGGAACTTCCACCAACAAAAGTAATTCTATCTACAGACGTCAGGAAATCTCCAAGAAAAGTAACGAAGCTTGAAAATCTACAAAATAGATCGGCAAAAAAATGGATATTCTATCATAAAATCGCCGTCTGTTTTCAGAAAGGCAATTTTTATTGTTGATATGCCGACTAGGCATAACATTTCTGTGATTCTCTCC